TTTTTAAGAAGGGGTTTTATTACAGCTACTTTAAAGGACTCTGGTACATATCCTGATAATAAAGAAAGATTAATCATATCCAGTAAAGAAGTGCCAATTAAGGGTACAACTTCTTTGAGCAGCCTAGTTGGGATGGGGTCTAACAGACAGGTTGATGGCTTAGATATAGAAATTATTGAGGTTAACTGATGAAGATTGATAGCAGAAAAACAGTCTAAATATATATCTGATTTTACATTAGTTAAAGTTCCTGAACTTGGAGAGCCAGTGATAGCTGTTGATGGCATTTGGTGATTCATTTTCTCTCTAATGGTCATAATTTTATTATAAAGGAAGCTCATGAAATCGTTGCTACTTAAGGTTATGGGGATATGTGGCTCAATAGAGCTGTGACTGCCTGGCTACAGTGCTGAAGAGGAACCTGGGTTTGCTTTTATTTTCTTCTATTAGTGCTGAGTAATAGGCTCCTCTGGCATTACGGAGGGCCTTTCTATATGTTTTAAGATTATCTTGCTAAATTGAGCGATATTGTAATAATTTCGAAGAGCGCCATTTCCTTTCAGATTTCTGTGCTTTTTGCTTTAATTGGCGGGTTTGGTGGTCGTACCACGGTGCTAGTCTCCTATGTTTGAATAATTTCCTTTTTATAGGAGCGGTAGAATCTAATGTTGTTCATAGTGAGCCTGCAGCACTATTAACAAGATGACCAATTTGGGAGGGACTAAAGTCATTATATTCAGACATGGCATTGAATTAAACACTGAAGGAATCTCCTCCTTAAATTTAGCTACAGCACTGTCAGATAGACATCTGCTGTAGGAAGTTTTGCCTAATGGCTTATAATCTAATAGTATGAATTCAAAAGTTATTAAATAATGGTCAGATAGGAAAGGATTTTGTGGGAAGACTATTAAATGTTCAATATCAATGCCATGCGATAGGTCGAGGTCAAGAGTGTGATTAAAACAATGAGTTGGTTTATTTACACTCTGACAGAAGCCAATTGAGTCTATTAATGAAATAAATGCATTACTGAGGCTGTCATTGTCAACATCCACATGAATATTAAAATCACCTACCATAATTACTTTATCTGTTTTAAGGACTAAACTTGATGAAAACTCCTAGAATTCAGACAAAAATTTACCAGCTAATGTAAATGCAATGTAATACAGCAGCCTGAGCATGGTTGCAGACCACTCTTGTCCTCCCCCAAACACTTGTATTTTACCTTGATGGAAATGTCATGAGATCAAGAAAAGATGTGAAGGAGAATTCATAAGGACTTTTTTTTAAATCATTTTTATTTATAACACATACAGTGACAAACTCAGTGCTGTACAAATTATGGCTTGTTCACACTGCCTACCTGAGCAGCACATGTGTGTGGCAGAACGTTTCGCAATTCATTTCGCCGTCCATGTTAACAGATTAGAGCAGTCACACTGCCCGCCTGAGTCGCAAGTCTTGGCTGCAGCAACGCTTCAATCCGGTCGTGGTTGCCAGCAGAAATAGACAAAATGGTCTGTTCATAGTCATATTGACACTATACCAGCTACATATACACCTTTCACTACAGTTTCAATGTCTATATCTGTAGAATGTGTCACAGACATGGAAAAAAATAGAAATGTATTTTTTAAACTCAATACCTCCTATATCTGTTATAGAATAAAAGCTCTGTGGTGTTTCTGAGAACAGAATCCATTCATATGTTAACTAGGTTTTCATTGTATGGTAGTTATCAAAGGCAAACTCAGTAGAGACAGATAGGGCTGGCAGCAGTGCTCTGCAGCAGCCACGCAGCTGTTCAGCACCGTAGCTGTCACATGCTACTCAGGTAGGAAGTGCAACCAGGGCTGATGTTAGGTTTCCTGTCCAAAACAGAAACCTTCCTAAGCAAAAAAGCCTATTTGAATACAGCCTGACATGTTCATCATGGTTACCATGTTCACCATCTTGTATCAAAAATCAGTACCAAAAGAAAAGTGCAGCTGAGGCAGCTGGGAATGACATTAGTTTTGCTGGTATTTGGCCACAAACCAAAGTATTGAACAAATTCAAATTCTGATCTAATTATGAAAGTGAAAACAACTCAGCCTGAGGGGAACTCAAATGTCTGAACCAAATTACATGTCAATCCATCCAGTAGTTGTTGAGATAATTCAGTCTGGAACTGGTGAACCGATGAGTGGTTAAAATGCCTCTCACATCGCATTTACACACATTTTTATTCCATTAAAATGTGAATTCTCATGCAGCCAGTATAAACAGCTATACTGAAACATATATCAGTATATCAAAAAAAATTATGAATATCTGTTTCATTCGACACAGGCTGAAAAACATTGTCAGTGTTCATGTCTCACCATTTTTCTACTTGAGACTAAAACTGTGAATAAACAGCTCATCCTATTCTTACAGTACTGGCGCTGCTGTTTGCTAAGGAGATTAGTAGTAGTGCAGCAGAAGAAATGTGCAGAAGGTCTATCCTGTTTTCAAGCAATACAAGAGGAAATTGTGACCTTGAAATCCATATATTTCATCACAGCAGAGAGGGAAATAACCAATACTGAAAGGTAGCATAAAACAAAACCATTAACTGCAAAACATTCTATTTGAGTTCTCCATTAAAGTAATCGATTATTTAATTTAAAACCTTGGATGGATGCTCCAACTGACAGGTTATTGCGCTAACAACAAATGAATTTAATCTCCATCTAATGTTTTTCATTTCCCGTCCTTTCCTTTTTTGATTAACAACTAACACTTTTCTTTTATCTGAGCTTATTCTTCCTCCAGGGTCTCATTCACAGAAGCCTTCGCTCAGCAGAGTTCAGTAGTAGAAGGAAGACTCAGCAAAAAAACAGGTTTGTCCTTGATTTTTTTTTTTTTTTTAAGAGTTGTATAGTTTTCATAAAGTGTACATTATAGTAAGCAGTCTATTAATTTACAAGGTTAATGGGGTTCAGGTGAACTGAGGTGCAAGGCTGAGAATGTATAGAATAACCATTGTTATAGACTCAATCAGTGGCTTTTTGCATTGAAGCTTTGCTCACAAGTTCAGTGTGCTCAGCCATGACATACAGCCAACATACTGACCATAAAACAGAAAAAGCCTTCAGTGTCGTTCTTTGCTCTTCTATCAATGAAGAAATACTCTCCAGTTCTGATATAGGCGGCTGTGGTGCAGAGGCAGAGTGGGTTGTCCCCTAATCGGAAGGTTGTTGGTTTGATCCCTGGCTCCACCTGCCACATGTCAAAGTATCCTTGAGCAAGATACTGAACCCCAAGTTGCTCCTGAGTTTCTGTTCGATGGGCTTTGCCATTGCTTTGTTTTGAGTGGTAGGAAGACTAGAAAGGCGCTATACAAGTACAGGTCCATTTACCATTTACCATATAACTGATGCTAGCTAATGTCTTTAACAGCCCCTAATTACACACACCTAGCATTAAACCAGGCCCATAGCTCATGCTGTAGCTGCTGATGGTTCCTGATAGGATGCTTATTGGTCCACTGTGTGTGCACAGCCTGGCAAGAGGGGTTTTTCAAGTGATCTCGCACGTCCAGGTGCCTAGCAAGGTTAAGTTTGTACTGAACAGAGTTAAAACCAGCAACAGACTGAACTTCCAAGATCTGAGATTCAGCAATATAAGACTGAACTGAAGGCCTTGGTGCTTCAACAATGTGCTTTTTGGATCATCTAACAGTATCTGAAACCTTAAGATCCTATTCACACCTCTCATTAACATGCAATCTGCATTTGCACATCCTCTCTGGATAAAGAAAAACACATGGTAATGCCAGGTGTAAAGGCACGCATTGTTATCAGTATGCGATCGGATCAGCCTCATCTGGAGGTTGTCTGGCTGGCATTGTGATCAGATCTCAGCAGGAGCAAATACAATCCGCACAGCATGACCACATTCTTAAGAAAGAATAGCATTGTTTTTCTCAAGAATTGTTGGAGAAATCTCCTAATGAATGCTAATGTTGCTCCATGTCTCTTGGATGTGTAAATACTAGGGATGCACCGATCCACGTTTTTTCACTTCCGATCCGATCCCGATACCTGAATTTGGATATCGGCTGATACCGATACTATTCCAATACCAGAGCTGTGTTTGCTTTAATATTATTATTATCATTATTGTTGATTTTATATGAGGCTGAAATAAACTCCTCTCAACAGGCAAGTATGATATGTACGTATGTATGCACGTATGTCCCAAAAGGCAACTTGAGGTAAGTATAAGATCAGAAAAGGAAGTCAGAAAAACAGGAAATCCTGTTAACAGGAAAAATCCCATCCTGAAAACAAATATGCATCTGTAAGGGTTTCAAATTGATTGTCATGTCAATATTTATTAAATTCCCAAAATGTCAAATATTTGAGTCTTGAAATATAAGAAAAGTGTGTAAACATCTTCACACACACACACACACACACACACACACACACTATCAATAAAACAGTGTGCATCTGAACACCACAAGCACTGGCTCTTGTAGCATCAACAAATCAAGGTTTTAAAATGTCAATTATCTGAAATATAAGAAAAGTGCAATAACTGTAAACATCTTACGCACGCACACACACACGCACACACACACCTGGAGTTTACTTTGTTTTTGGAATGACTCCAGAAGTGATTCCTGACAGCTCGCCTAAAAAGTCCTCGTGCTCTTTCGTGTGGTGCTTTTTTTAAATGTTTGATTGCGTTCGTAGTGTTGTACGACGCGAGGGAGCTTCCGCGTCTCTGAATTACGGCTTTGCAAACATTGCATTTTGCTGTCTTGCTCTGCGGTGTTTCCAGTGTAAAGTATTTCCACACAGCGGACATGTTGGCTAGCCACAATGCTGCTCAATGCTATCCTGCTAGCTGGCTGCAAACTGTGGAATGGATTTCCTGAGCGGAGGCGTGTCTCATTGAGCCGCACCTCCGTTCAGCAAATCCATTCCACAGTTTGCAGCCAGCTAGCAGACTGGCCGGCAGGAATCACCTGTGGAGTCATTTCAGCAGACAACATTAACGCAGACATGGCTCATGGATATCTGATACGGAAAACTGCGCAGGTTGGATCGGGAAATTCCGATACGTGAATTACGCTCATAATGGTCCCGATACCGATACTGGATCGGATCCGCCCCATCCCTAGTAAATATGCAACTGTTTGTGATCAAGTTGTTATATCCAGTCAAGGCTTTACAGTCTGTACAGCATAGGACACCCTCTGTCCTTAGACATAAGATGATGGATAAGGAAAGAAAAACCTGAACAGTAAAAAAATGGAAGATACCTCAAAAGGACCAAAAGGGGAGGGATCTCTCTCTCCCACGGAGGACAGACATGCAATAGTTTTTCATGTGTTTGTGTACAGAGCAATCCAACAGTATGGACAACCAGGAAATTGACAATCAGGAAACATATATGATGAATGGATCCAGGAGAATGAAGAGCAACTTCCATGCATCGCCAAACAGACCCATGACCTCCTCTCCACCATGGAGACCTGGAAGATGACAGACTACACAGACACACAAGGGTAAAACTTAAGCACACCATTCACACAGTGAGAAGAAAGGGACAGAGACAGAGACAGAGAGAGAGACAGAGGGAGAGAGAGAGAGAGAGACAGAGAGAGAGAAGACACAAAATCTACAGAGGGTTGGACAGAAAAAGTGTTTTTCAGAAAATGTACCGTATTCTCATCTGCAGGATAAACACGGACTGTAAGCAGTAGATTCACTGTATTCACATAATGGTAACAGGTTCTAGGTCATCAACAATAGGCAGTAAACTGAAAGTGAAGGCAAACAGAGGAGTTTTTCAGCTTGTTCACACCACCCGTGTCTGCGTGGTGGAACGTCTTGAATTTGATTTCAGCTCCCATGATAACACCGCCTCACGTACACTCAGCTGCGTCTGCAGTGAAGCTTCACTAGAGAGTCAAGGTCTCGCCTATTTTTACTGCAAGCCACACGCGTCTCCCAGCAAAAGGATCTGTTGGTAGACATATCCACATATTTCACTGCAGTTTAAACTTCCTTTTCAAAGTAAAAGCATCTTTTAATCTTTTACTTTAACACGACTTCACTTGTGAAAGAATTTCCAGAAGTGAGCCTTATGAAGGGCAGTATCCGTGATTCACGAGTCGAATAGAGATGAATACAGAGCAGATATTACATATTATATTTATCGCTGACCCTGAGCACCCAACTGCTTCTTCTGTCACATAATTCTACAATATCAGAAAAAGAGGACTAGATAGTACCTTGTTTACCATGTAAGGAAGTCAATGGATAAGGGAACATGGAAGGTCGACAATTTGTTGTGGCCATCCATTGTTGATGAGGCCTATTTTCAGCATTCAACTAATTTGCAAGGATAAGCAATTAAGAGATGTCTTTGTCCCACATGCTGTGTTTTGTGTTTGCAGGCACTGAATAGGTTTTCCTCCAGTCCTTGCTCTCCTAAGATCTGTGACAGCCCGTTGTCTGGCTCGGACTGCTGCTCTCTGATCCACTGGCTAAACACGTTCACACATCCAATGTGCTGTGTTCACAGCTGCTCTGGTGTAGCCACATAGAAAATTGGCTCTGATCAGCGAGGCCTGAAAAGGTTCAGAAGTTGAGATGTGTCCAAAAACACAGGTCTCCTTGAGGCTGTCTGCCACCATCCAAGCCAAGCTTTTATTGATTTGTGGCATTATCTTTCGTGCTTTGCTTGACATTTGTAGGGCATGGTCAAGTGTAAAACACAAAAACCAAAACTGACGGATACGCATTTGGACACACACATACACTCACACTGACCATATGCCCTTATCCTCTATTTTCATGCTTCTAAGAGGAGTCAACACAGTAGATAAGGATGCTGCCCTCACACAACGTCATGTTAGTTGCTGCATAATAGAAAGTCTTAACACATGTCTACACTTCAAAGACACACCATACATGCATATACACAAACACATGTGCACACCCAAAATATGCACACTAACCCACCCACTCACACTTTTCAGAAGCCGCTGTGCCAGCCTTGTGTGGGCTGTGCAGCCTAAAGCTGTTTCTGCATCCTCAGGCTCCTCAGTCCAAACCCCAGCCTCTTCCTCTGATTTTTTGCATCCATCCAAAACGCAGATAACCCCAAAGCACCCATTTCAAGGATACAAAAGTTGGGAGATTTTTGCAGTAATGTACATGTCAGAACTGCAACCTGAAAGCTTTTACTCTTAAATTTAAGACTTGAATAAGCATCCTTCATTCAATATGTGGCCCACTGAGCATGAGCAGTCGGGGGTTCAGTGTGCCACCTCAACAATAGTTGCTGACGTTGTACTTGAAGTGAGCTGTTGGGGTCTTTTTAAAGAGGGAGAGATTGTTTGAGTGTTTGCTCTGGTTTTGGAAAGGAAAGTGTGAGAGCTAGTATTTATTTAGGTGTGTGTTTAGCCTTGTATGCAATGATTCCTCTGCAATGATTGCCTTCCTTACTGTTTTCTCTGGGAGGTTTGCTGTGTGCCAAGCCAAGGTGAGTATCATTTTATTTGCAAATAAATTCTTGCAAGAATTTGGGCATATTCTCAATGTGATTTGACCAGTTGTGGACTTGTGACTGAAGGTTACATCTGTTTATATAGTTGATGGAATATGTTGTAGTAATAAACATAGTTAAGGCTAGTCATATTTAGCAGTGTAGGGGTTACACTACTATTTAATTAGAAAGGTAATTAATCACTGAAGATTAATAATACACTCGTAAATGGGGCACCACCTCCGTTGTTTAGCTACTGGAGTAATCCGGAGGAAATTATTCTACAGATCTAATCAAATCAATTTCAAATCAATTTATTAAATTTCAAAATCTATATTTAATCTCATATTTCTGAAGTAGTGATTTCTTTTACACGATTCATCGATTTCCCCGCATCAAATCAAATCAAACCGGCATCGACAAGGACATACCGTTATATTGTTTATTAACTAAACTAATGCAGAGTAAATAGCATGAAATGATAAGGCAAACAAACAACAACAAGTAACAGAATATGTGGACAATATATGAATTATTACTATTAGGTGATTCAGGAGCGATGGTGGATTTTGCGATGCGGCAGTAAGTTTAAAATATTACGAGAGTAAATTTTAGAACTGATTTCTCTTAAACTTAAAAGATGGGAATCAAAGCTTACAGACAGACAACAGCCCTTTTTTATGTGTGTGAATCCGGCCGGATCAGAAGAGTAAGAGAGAGAGGGAGAGACCGGAGTCTATCTCTTATATCTTTTATTCTGGAGGCGGAACTGGACGAGAGGAGCTGACCGCACGCGCCACTTCCTTTAGCGATATTTTGATATTTGTAACTTTATAATTTATTCCTATCGTGTTTTAAAGTTTCGAGATCATAATTCACCGTTCACAGAACCCACCATGACTTAATACATAGTTCACATGTTTTAACATAACATAACTGAAAGTACTTAATGTAAAGGAAAAGTGGAACTGATTAAAATCATTAAATCATTAATCATCAAACATGTATATAAAGCAGCACTGAGGGATTGTACATATTTCGTATAGTGCTAGCTTAATCCTTGTTACAAAAATTATGTATCAGGCATTTACTATTTGGAATAATACACAATTATGAAACAAAGTTCGTTTTGAAAGTCCTCTTACAACTATACCAGAACCTTACCAAAAGGTGGCACTGTGGCTCCATCAAACATTCAGACATTTTACACATGATTTTGTAACTTAGTCCAATCAGAGGACAGAAACATCAGACAAACATTACACTTGCGACCTTCTCATGCTGGATGGCAATCTGTTAATTAGGAGGAGATGAAATTTTACCATAATACTCCAACAGAACTAAATCTATATCCGTGCAACTGTTGTTACTGCTTCCTAGATTGGAATGTCCACTATCAAAAGAAAACATCGTAATTTACACTTTAGAGGAGGGGGTGTCAGAATGCCAGATGTGGATTCCAGAGGAGTTTCTCTCTGGAGGTGGACCTGTCAGACTAAAAGAGATGTAAACACATTTCAGGGATATCTAACCCTGATTTACACAGTCTCACCTCCCCTCCTGGGTCAAAAAGGTCAAAGGGAAAGAGGAGGCCTTGAAAACTCTCCTGGTGGAACATAATCAAAATAATATGACGTTGTACTTGAAGTGAGCTGTTGGGGTCTTTTTAAAGAGGGAGAGATTGTTTGAGTGTTTGCTCTGGTTTTGGAAAGGAAAGTGTGAGAGCTAGTATTTATTTAGGTGTGTGTTTTGCCTTGTATGCAATGATTCCTCTGCAATGATTGCCTTCCTTACTGTTTTCTCTGGGAGGTTTGCTGTGTGCCAAGTCAGATTCAACAAACTATTTGAACAAACATGTCATAAATCGTTTCAACCTGATGAATACTGTTGTTTCGTGAGGAGGTGATCTGATCATTAACATAATGGACGCCCCCACATTGCTCTTAGGCTACTTATCTCACCTCATTTGTGGACAAGTTGCAATTAACAAGAATTACTTTTTTTTTAAATTATTAAAAACTAGTTTAGCTCTTCATTTTTATTTTAGCTGATTTCTGTAACTGTGACGAGGCCCACTGCTCTGCTGTCTGCTTTACAGATACTGGGGTTGGCTGGTGGGTGGAGCAAGGAGGTCGTGTGCCTTACCTGCCCATCTGGGTGAGGCTCCCAGAAAGGTATAGAAGATGCCCTTTTGGGAGTCTCACTCTCTGGCTAAATGGTAAATGGACCTGTACTTGTATCGTGCCTTTCTAGTCTTCCGACCACTCAAAGTGCTTTTATACTACATGCCACATTCACCCAGCAATGGCTAAGCACATCAAACAGAAACTTACGCATTCATACACATTCACAGGAATTCGGGGTTCAGTATCTTGCTCAAGGATGCTTCAACACATGGCGGAAGGAGCCGTATGATCAAAGTTTATACGTTGTAGGGTTTGCATTAGTTATTCCTCTTTTTGGGATCTGTTGTATTGCCAGCCTTTAGGAATATCATTTCAATATCTTAATTGTTCTTCAGTCACAGATGAAGATTCAGAATGATATTTCCAAGTAGGTTTTCAAATACAAGGAATTTGCCTCTGTATATTGGTGCATAACAATAAACACAGGACAAGGAAGAGAGGACTGCAAGTCAAGAAGCATAAATAGAAAAATAGAAAATTAACAATAATTTATGAAAAAATAATATAAAGACAATAATAGACAATCTGCAGAATATGGCTGTTATTTTAAATAGAAAATGTACAGTTTGTGCAGGAATGTGCAAAAGTTTACAGTATTAAGTATAAAGAATATCTGCAATGTCCAGAAGATTATGATATGTACAGTAGTAGGTTTGTATAACTGGTAGTCTGTTAATGAACCTTGGCAATGAAGTCATAGTTTTCACTGTGTTGTGTATCACCTATATGAAATAACACAGTTAGAATGCAGGTACAGTTTTATATTTTGATTTAATTACTTTTTTGATTGACATATTTGTGTGTGGCCTCCCTTTTTATTGCCAGCCTTGAACTGTTACATAATTCAATTAATTCCTATTAAAGCATTATGGAGGACCAATTGTTAGAAATGGAATATAATATTCATAGGTATGTTTTCATTAGTGTATAATCACTGTTACCTTAGAATGAGCTGTTTTCGTCCCCCACCATTGTGCCCCCATGTTCAAAGAAGCACCTCCTATGGTAGATAAAACATGTCAAAGCTGCAAGTCGGGATACCCTCTAGGGGTCCTCAAAGCTTTAGGGGGGAAAATAAAAATGTAATTTAAATTTCTAAAGTTAAGATAATTATTTTATATATTATTTAACATATTAACTTTAACGACCTGAACACAAGCTATATTCACAGAACATTTACTCTCTGATAAACAGCCTCATCCAGCATTTTAAAAGTATGCACACTCTAAAAAGTAACTCAGTGGCCCTATTATCACCACTTAATTAAATGCATGGTTGCAAGTTAAAAATTCTAATATATTGATTTAGATCGACCTTTTAAGTTGCAAAAAATGTCTTGAGTTGTGTTGATATAATAATGTTGGTAATTACGTCAACTTAATATTGTGAGTAATTTGAACTAACATTTCTGCATTAATTGGTTCAAAACAAAAGTCAAGTTGTATTAACTTAATATAATTTGCTTGATAACTTAATTTTTCTCCACCTTGAGTTCAGCATTTCAAGTCCCCTCCCCTACCCACCCACCTATCACATGCATGGGCAAATTCAGACAGTTGAGACTCTGTGTTAGCAAATACGATCTACAAAGGACATTTTTGAGGTGAGTATCATTTTATTTGCAAATAAATTCTTGCAAGAATTTGGGCATATTCTCAATGTGATTTGACCAGTTGTGGACTTGTGACTGAAGGTTAGGTTACATCTGTTTATATAGTTGATGGAATATGTTGTAGTAATAAACATAGTTAAGGCTAGTCATATTTAGCAGTGTAGGGGTTACACTACTATTTAATTAGAAAGGTAATTAATCACTGAAGATTAATAATACACTCGTAAATGGGTAAAACTCTCCTGGTGGAACATAATCAAAATACTATGATGATTGTTGAATTAAGAGACGGATAAAGCGTCTCTTGTAGAGGAAGACGAGGACAAGGTCCTACAGCAGCGTAGTTTAGCCATTCTACCCTTCAGTGTAGCATAGCAATGGATAAGAATGAAAAAGTTTTATTTGGCAAATCGGGTCAGCTTGAGAGAGCTTTTTATTTGAGCCATGGAGAGGAATAGCATGATGCTTCTTATGTGTTTAGCTGTAAACTACATTGCTGTTTGTATATATTAAACTGCATAAAATGTAATGCTTTAGCAGGGTACTTGACTGGCCCATCTTATTGCCTGGTGTTTGGTTCCAAGTTGCCCCTATGGAGAGCGACTACGTGGAACAAAATGGCAGTCAGTGATAGTGGGTCATTTCAGTGCCCTGCATTTTTAACCAGTGTATGTCAGAGTTCACATATGTTGAGGAGTTGTTCCTCTCCAGCTAATGTGTTTTAGTATGAATTAATGCAGTATAGCTAATTGTCTGCAAGACTGAATTCTTCCATTTGTGTGATCTACAGATAAATAAAGAATTCCAGAGAAAATGGCCAGACTTGACCATTGCACAACAAAAATGATGGATGTAGTCTCATCAAGGACAGGAGCTACAGGAGTGACAATCAGACATATAAAAGACATGCTTCTCCAGGTATGGAAATTATTAGGCTTATCTTTGTTGACAGTTACCAATTCAGATTATATTTGGTTAGTTATTTTCTTTTTCCTTTTTCTTAAATAGCCCAATACAACTGAAGTACACGGAGGAAGGAAAAGGACCGTTTTCAAGGAGTTCAGAGTAAGTAAATCAACATCTTGAAAGAAAAAGGAAATCTACATTGTGCAGTGTAAATATACAGGGCAGAACTTGTCCAAGTTTTAAGTATATTACACTCTGGCCACACCTCAATCTGTAATATCATAACAATGGTCTGTTCAGATAGGTGTTGACAGCAATGGCATGGGAAAATACTTCCAATGTATTAATAAATCAATGTATTTTTTCTTTTAATTTACTATACAAGGACACAGAAGCGTTTGAGGCAGGCCTCAATAGACAACTGATGAAAACTACTGCCATCGCCCCAGAATCTGACCATATGACAGCAATCATCATGGTCGAGGGAACCAAAATCCTGGAGAGAAAGGCTATCACAAGGTGCTGCGCTTTGCTGACGGGAATCTGAGCTATTGGAACTTAAATGTACATTGATAGTGACAGTCTGCTGCTGTTTGTTACAGTTTTTTGTAAAATTTATCTAAAAGGTCTTTCCTATAATGTTTTTTTAAATATTGTGTGCTCAAACACTGTTAAACTGCAGTTCAAAATAAAAACAGTTAATTGCCAAACAGTTTTGTTATCGAATTAATTAATTTATTACATAAAATTTAAAAATGTGTGTCAACTTAAAAAACATTATTATAGTTATTAAGTACATGGCACTTAAAATGCCTTTTAAATAATGTGGGGAAACTATTTGGAACAACTTAATTTTATAAGTAATTGACTTAAAAACTTGTGTTTATGCTACCAATTATTAAGTAGGTGGTAATTAAAAATATCTTTCATTGTAGATGAAAAGCTAATTCGCCTTACTTAATAAAGTTCATTAGTTGAACATAATTTCATCCTGTGTTGTCACAACTCAAAATGAGAGATGGAAACTGTTGCATTGATTTTCTTCATTGAGCCAAGACAATTGTTTTTAGAGTGTGAGAAAAGTGTGGTGAAAATTCACCAAAAATGACCACAGAATTCAAAATGGCCAACTTTGACGGCACACCATGGACACGCCCTTAGACATACAGTCACAAATTGAACAGCGTTCATTCAGCACCATTTTGTGACTGTACCGACCAATTTTGAAGCAGATCCCAGAAATTCCCTAGGAGGGGTTCGTTCAAATACAAGGGGAAAATTCACCGAAAATGACCACAGAATTCAAAATGGCCAACTTTGACGGCACACCACGGACACGCCCTTCAACGTACAGTCACAAATTGAACAGCCAAGACAAACACGATTTTTGGTATGTGAGCTACAGGCACCAGTCTACACGTGTCCTGTGAATTTCATATTCATAACTATTACGGTCTCTGCACAGCTAATTATCTTCCACCAGAGCGCCACCAGGTGGCGTGATTTTTTTTCCTTTTTAGAGGAGCTTCAGGGAGCCATGGGCAATCATCCTACCAAGTTTCGTTTTAATCACACTTGCCGACACAGAGATATAAACGTTTGACTTTGAAAGAGTGCCACCTTGTGGTGGTGGCCTCAAATTGTTCAAGATTGTGCATGATGCCTAATCAAGACATGGGGAACTATGGACCCAAGCTTGGTGTCAATCGGACATACAATTGTGGAGAAATGGTCCACTTCCTTTTCTGACGAAAAATCAACAGAAAGTGCTAATTTTATAACATGCTTATTTTTTGAAATATCAAAATACTTTAAATTACTTTTTTTGCCAGGACGGTCTCCAGATGCTAGGTGCAAAGTTTTGTGCAAATCGGACAAAAGTGCATGGATGGAACACGAAAATGTAGTTTTTGGACATTTTGCGCTCTAGTGAAAAAAAAATGTAGGCGGAAGTGGGCGTGGCCTATAGGGAGATTCAGCTCCATTCACCGAACGCGTGGATATAAGGCTTTTGAATGTGGGACAAACGATGCGGGAGTTGTTAGCCTATCAAAATTTGCCTAAAAGTAGCGCCACCTAGTGGTCTTCCTAGTGGTTGACCTGAATGTGACGCATAGAATATCCGATATCGCACCAGGCCCGACAACTTTGCCAAATAAAATTCATGAAAAGTATACGTTCAGGGGGTCAAAAATGCAGTCAAAAGTGCTAAGAAGAAGAATAATAAGAAACGGACCAAAAACAATAGGGACCTTCCAGTTGTCACTGGCTCGGTCCCTAAATATACATTATAGAATTAACGTTTCACTTTGTCAGGGGTCTTGGAAAAAATGCAGGTCAAAGTCCTGTTTGCGTCCAATTTTATGCCAATCCATCACCCGCAATTATTCTTCAGTTCCAGCTCCAACTAGTCCAGGTTGTAGTTGTGTTGTAGGCCAGTGATCTGACATGTAATAAGAAATAATAAAAAAGAAAAGAAAACACTATACACTGATACGTGCAGACTGCAAAGGCAAAACTGCCCTCCATGTTTTCAACATAGCATGTATACCTGCTCAGCAGAACCGGTTGGTCAAAATGTACATTCGGACCTCTCTAAAGCCATGCATAATTCACACACACTGCTCCTTCATTATTATTTAAAGTCTTCAGACGCAAAAGGTGGATTTAAAAGTAATTTATTTTTCTACACACTGGTGAGCTGTTCCCCAACACTGAAAGTTTATAGAATGGGATTACTGGAGGAGGTTGTGTGAATTTTTTTGTTTTATGAAGCACCAAAAGTAAGAAAAAGTTCATATAGGTTATCATCTTGTGTGGACAACATTTGTTATACATAGCATTTGTTTGTTTGTTTTATGTTTTGTTGGGGTTTTTTTTAGCTGTTATAGAGGCAATTATTTTATCTATTTAACTTAAATTACTTTTTAAGATCCCCTCTAAGTCTCCAGATAACTATCATAATGCAGAACATCGAAGGTTTCAGTGTGATGTTGATTCCACTGTTCTTGCACTTCCTGTGTCCTTTGCAAAATCTCAAAATTGTTTGCATTGGTTCCGTCTTGAGGAAAACACTGATAAAATGAATTATTAATTATACAACTAAATATTAATTTACCTTTACTTTTGATGTCTAAGATCATCAAAAGTGCATCAGACTGCAATTGCAAATTCTGACCTTCTGTCTAGGGTGTAAAAGAAGAAACACCTCTTTGTATAACGCAATACAGTTCAACAGCACCACTCACTGCAGACTGCAAAATGTCATACAACTGTATCAACACCTCTCTCAAACAGTTTAAAGCTAACTGATTGATTTATTGGTTAACCCCATGGACATAAAGATGGACGACATGACAGCTCTCTACAAGTGAAGCCAAAACATCTGGATCACCCTCTGGTGGCTGACTGCAGTATAGGTCATAAAGCCCGCTGCCAAAAATCAAAAGTACATATCAAATTAATTTGATAGTTTCTGGAATTTAGGTAGTTCTTATCACGCCCATGTATGTTCAAGTATTACTTTTAATTTGTTTAATTTAATCAAAGGTGGTTTCACAGCATAATTGATAGCTAAGCCCTGCTCGTGATTGAGTCACCAAGGCTTATGGGCGGCGCCAACCCCAATCATACTGCACAGAGCTCTGAGTGGCGTAAGATGGCAGCGGCCATATCCTGGATATTTTGGCTTCATTTTTGTAGTGGAGACGCAATGTCCATCTTTCGTATGTTGATAATGCTGCATCCTAAGCAGAGGCCTTGTCTTACCGATGCCTCGATGGCGTAGCACACTTCTGCTAAATCTTAGGCTACTTGCCACTCACACTGTGTCATTAGCTAACACAAGCTGGCTCATTGTAGCTATATCATGCATCTGTTTTAGCACTGGCTTGCAATAATGCTTCCCTTGCTCCACAATGGTCAGGGGGATATGTTGGTTGATATCACCACCTGCTCACTGTTAGGCTAGTGCCTCTCAGTCACTAGCTAGCAACACTACTTCCCCAGGAGCTGGCAGGCTGATTTACGTTCTATGGCGGTCACATTTCCCCAAATACCTGGCTTCCTGACTGAGAAGTATAGCTTCCTGTACTACCAGGCAGTCCACCTGGGATGGGGTTGCTTCTTTGCACCCTAACTCAGGTGGGGTGAATAAGGGGGTAACTGCCATACTACACTCACAGTCCCCACTGTCTTGCTCCCCTTCCCTCCTCACATGCCCTGTTTCACCAGCTAAAGGCAACCTAAGCATTTCCACATTGCTGCACTGGTACACATTCTGATTCAGATGCATGTCATTGTTACGCCCCTGTCCATGGGGAAGGAGCACCACATAAAAGTGTGATGAAAATGAACCAATAATCCTACCCAGATTCCCAAACCAACAACTAACACAGTGTTAACAATCAAGTGATGTGATTTATTTACAACAGGTGAAGCAAAGTGCAACAAAAACCAAATAACAAACTTCAGGGTGAACCACGGCCAAAACAACAGACAAAACAGGGATAACTTCCTTAAACAAAAATCCTTACTAATCCCTATTTGATATAAACAAAATACAGTTACTAAACCTAACACCCTTACGATACTCACTATACACATTCATATGGAAACACAATCTAATACTAACTTAACAATTCACGCTATCTCAAAAAAACCACACTCTACAATCGAGGACAGATTGTAGAGAGTGTGCTGCTGCTGAAGGTTCTGCCGAGGAACTTCTGTGCGGTCCGGCGTTTTGAATCCCGGCGGATGTTGCCGCTCCCCAGGAGAACCAATCAGCAGGCGACATTCCAACAGCCGAGCCCACGGCATGGACCAGTCAGACCTGACCTACGGGTTGCCATCAAAGATCTTACAATCGACAGGCAGCACACTCCTGCAGATAAATAGGGATAATAATAATACGGCCAGGGCTGTGACAGTCATAGGTTGCCTTGAAGCGCCCACCAAAGGATAGGGTTGCCCTTCTGTCTCAGGTGAGGTGAATAAAGCGAAGGCGATGTCTGATTCTCACTCTTCCCTTGCCTCTCATCTTTATGTTTTCTCTGCTATACCCCACGCTCACGGTGTCCCCTCACTGGGGCATGGGAACAAGCTGCGATGCTTCTCAGTGAGGTAGGGAAGGGGGGGAGAAGGCTCAGACACATCAACAGGTACCAAGTGCTATCATGCTAGCCCACGCGGTAGATGATAGCTCAGGTACCTGGTAATGGGACGTGTCTATCACTGATGTATAACGTTTAGTCTCACATGTCGATGAAGCATGGTGAGTAAATTTCACCAAGAGGTATGGACGAGTAGTTTTCTCCTCCCATTTCCATTATTATCCTACTTTCAGTTATGCCCTAACTGTGCCAGACGCACTGGAGTGCACAACCAGGCTCCCACACAGATAATTGGTGATGATTCTGCTCCTGTACCAAAAGGTTTCATCACTGAAGCATGGCATCATTCTCCTGTTACTTTTCTCTCGCAGTGCACTTATAGAAATGGAGTTACATCCAGTAACTCTCTCTCTCTCTCTCTCTCTCTCTCTCTCTCTCTCTCTGTCTCTCTCTCTCTCTCTCTCACCCCAACTGGTCGAGACAGACGACCACCCACCTAGAGCCGAAGGATCTGTCCTAGGTTTCTGCCTTTTAACAGGCAGTTTTTCCTTGCCCCCGTCTCCAAGGTCTTGCTCATGGTGGTACTGTTGGGTCTC